AAGATGAAGATGAAGATGAAGATGAAGATGAAGATGAAGATGAAGATAAGGATAAAAATCATAACCCCTTACCTTTAACTCATCTTAACTTAAAAACTTACTCCACCTGAGCTCACCACACATTAATTCACCACACTCTAACTCCCCACACCTAAATTCACCACACCTCAACTCGCCACACCTTAACCCCCCACCGAAATCCACCACACCTAAATCCACCACACCTAAATCCACCACCCTTAATTCACCACACCTCAACTTTCTCACCACACCTTAACTCACCTCAACTCACCACACCAAAATTCACCACACCTTAATTCACCACACCTCAACTTTCTCACCATAACTTAACTCACCACACCTGAATCCACCACACCTAAATTCACCACACCGTAACTCCTACACCCAATTCCACCACACCGCAGCTCACCACACCCAATTTCACCACATGACATGATATCACTTGATGTGGCATCAAAGGCAACATCATTTGGCATAAAATGAACCAAAATAAATAAGATTTAGATAGAGGTGAAAAAATGGATAAAAAGGAAATACAACTGAAGAGTGTGCGATGTTATATTGTGGTGTGTTATGCTTCATATGTTATGTTATTTATTCTTATGTTATGGTTATGTTATGTTATACCAAGTACTAAGCTAAACTCCTCTCCACTTAACCCATTCCAACTAATGTTATTTTAGCTCATTCAACTTACATAAACTATCCTTAATTTTATCGGTTGAATTTCAACCGCTGGGCGAACACTAGTAGGATTAAATCCTTGGCGCGACCTCTCATTGTCTAATATATTAAAATTAGTAGATCTAAACATTTACAATAAAAAGTAGTAAATTTTTAATGAAATAAGAAAACTTTATCTCCAACTTAGAATAAAATTGTTAGGAAGAATTTAAAAAAGCAATAAAGTCAAAGCTGCTATTACGGAGATCAGGGGTATTCACCAAATTGAGCAAGTGACCTGGCACTCTGGTAAAAGAGCAGATTATCTCAAGCAACGACTTTTGACAACAATCTGCCAGGTCACCCGCTCAATTTGGTAAACACCTTCATTATTGCTAAAAAGTAGTAGCGATCCTTTAGAACTTATAGTTTGTCCAAAGATTACTGGTTAAAGGAAAACTCTAAAATTTGGTGCCGCACTGCCTGGCGATAGTTTAAATCGGGGACCGAAAACACGTTTCAGTTTTGGCTTAGTTCTGCACGGTAACAAAATGTAATGTCAAGAACTTTCCCCCAAAACAGCCAATCGGGGACAAGAGTATTGAGAGCAGCTTGAACGAAAACAAAATGAGACCAAAAGGCTCGGGAACGTTTCCGTAAAGGATAAAATTCTCGGGAACGTTCCCAGAAAGAACAAATTGAGAACGAAACTTTTGGGAATGTTTCCAATTATAACAAAATTAGAACGAAAGTATGGAGAACGTTTTCAAGGAAGATCAACTAAGAACAAAAGTCTGGGGAACGTTCTGCTAGAGAAGAAAAGTTTTGAGAACTTAACGTTAAGAATGAGAGGAATGTCTGCATGTTGGGATGAAAAATCGTCTCAATGAGAACCACGAGGAAAGCTGGATCATATCAACTTCCATATCGTTAAGCATTAGGGTGAAATATGTATTTATGGAACAATTTTTCATTTTCTGTATCTGAAAAGTTCGTGTCTCAAGGCTTTCATTGACTTTATTTGCATAATTATCTTTCAGTTCTTTTTTTGTTTAATTTTAATATTCAAACATTTTAAACTAATGGAACGCTATGAGAAAAATTTTGTTCTCGCTTCCATTCTTCGTGAATAGTGCAGATATGATTTGTTTCCGTTTCGTTCTCTGTCCGAAAGTTCCTTAGACTTTAGTTCCGAGATTATTCTTCGAGAGAAAGTTCATTGGACTTTTGTTCCCGTTTTGTTCTTTGCCAAAACGTTCTGGGGACTTCTGTTCCCATTTTGCTCTCTTAGAAATGTTCCCGAAAGTATTCTATTCTATTAAGGATCGTTCCACAGGGTTTTGTTCTTATACACTTGCCATTAAGAAGGCTCTCGACAGTTTTGTTCTCATTTGGGTTTTGGTTTTGAAGTCTTCTTGGGATCAGAACTACGAGAACGACATTTAGTTTCGATCATGTGTTTTTTTCTCGGTCTCTGGTTTAAATTACCCTTTATAAAGAACATTATTGATATTCTCTACTCAGAAATTAATCTTTAAACAAAATCCAGAGCTCAGAACATAGTAAGAAATAGAAGACATTAAGCGTCCTTTATTTGGCAAATATTTATAAAGGACCTACCATTGTTCAAATGATTTATTATGATCAAATTTCCTATGCCCTTTATATACTTAGACGGACACAGGAGAAAACTCTTATTCCTACTCAAACCTGTTTGCCGCTATTTCTCAGCGAATCGCTTTATCATACCAATGCATTAAGTTAAGTTAAGTTAAGTTACAATTTAAAGCTACATATAAATGGAATAAGCTATCTTTAGCAATGCTATGCGGAACTAACTTTTTTCTCTTGCCGAAAGATTGTTTGTAAACATCTTCAGAATGCACGTGGAAATTACTTATTAACCCCACAAGCAGTTTTCGTAACACAAATACAAGAGTTTCACGATAAGTTTCTTCTATAAATTTTTTGCTTAGTTGAACTTACCTTTGGGTGATTTTTCCGCATCAGTCTTTCCCAGATAGAATGGGCCTTGTCTTGTACTAATTTCATGCACAATTATGCCAAACGAATAGACATCACCCTTCTGTGTGCCCTCTGGCGGACGATTGTTTTCCATTTTCAACAACTCAGGCGCTGTCCAAAGCAATTCTGTGAGTGGGAGGAAAAATGAAAGAGATTAAATTAAAGAAATCAACAAGGTAATGGCGGTGAATAAAATTGTAAACAATTAGGTGCAGTAACAAGGCCAACCAAAAAAGTAGCAATATTGAATAAACCATGATAAAAATATAGTAAGGTAGAACCGCTGAGAGTCACTTTTAAAATTCTTGACATTTCCAAACAATTTAATTTTTTAATTTACTCACAAACTCACACACACATTTTCATTTTCAATCTCAAGCAACAACAATTTCGAACAATTTCAATTTTTTATTTCCACTTTTATATGATTTTAAAATGTTGGCAAACTTCAGAAAAAATCATGGCCGACAAATTGAGAGAACGGTTCTACCTTGCTATGTTTTTATCATGGAATAAACAATAGGGGAGCTCACGATTTGTAGCATTTTATTTGTAAGGCATCTACTCCATTAATTTTAATTTGCTCTCAATTTAAGTATTTAAACCACTTCCGATTGAGTTTTTACGTTGCTGCAATTGAATATACGTATGTATGTGGTTCTCTTTCGAATACTTACTGCTCCAATACGCATGGCTGTTACAGTCTTCAACATCGTTCTCCAACGCTTCAGGGCGTATACGCTTTAGCGTGTGCAAACCAAAATCTGTTATTTTCAATACAAATCGAGAGTCCACCACACAATTTGAGGACTTCAGATTGCCATGTGATCGTATAACTGAGTTGTGTAGAAAATGCATGCCACGCACAATATCGTGCATTAGTGACAACTTAATCATCCAGTCCAGCTGGAATTGCTCATTCTCTAATATATCCTGCAGCGAACCTTTTGGACAGTATTCGGTGAGTAGAAAGCGCTTCGGGGGATCCAAGCATGCGCCGTAAAACTTTACCAAGTGATCGTGTTGCAGATCCTTCATACTTTTCAGCTCCAACATTAGCGAACGCGTCAAGTTAATTTGTCGATTTTCGATGGCCTTAATGGCCACTTCACAACCACGATACATACCAACTGGTATGAAAATTTGACGATCACCGCACAACGAGCGCAGATCTTCAGACATCAGCGTCAATTGTGAGGATTGACGCACGAGCGAATGAAAGGAACCCCGTATGCCACGTCCTGCCAAGTCAGGACATACTAGATCGCTAATGGATACCTTCCAAGTCATGGAATTTATCTCAGCCTCTGACTTGTAGTGTCGATAGCCGAAGAAGAAACCGACGGTCATAAGCACGACTACAACACCGAGTATGATTGAGAGTATTGCATAACCAGGGAGTGCTGCAAGTAAAAATAGACTTTTAACAAGTTGAAAAAGATAGTCGCATGTGTGCGTTAAACTTACAATTATCTGGACATAATGAACCATCATAACCGCAAATTGGCGTGCTAGGTGGTGGCTCTTTGCGCCCACCTGCCCAATGGATTTCCTTGCCCGGCACAAAATCCAAACGATTGTGCATAAAGTCTGCAACGATTTCGAATCGTCCCGTATCCGAATTCATATCCAATAGTGAGTATGCCGAGATGCGATCCCCATTGGAATCGATGGTGACATTACCGGTTATACCTTTGAAACTGCGACCCCACATGCGTCGCACCATATCTGTGCCATTAATGGGACGCGTTAGCACTGTTGGATCTTCGCGAATACTGTCATTGAGTGCTTGCGCGTAGAGTAGTACGCCGTCAAAGAAGGATGTTACAAAAGCAGAGACATCCTCATTTTCTTGGAATGTGTAATTATACTTTTCGGCGGCGATGGTTTTGATCTAAATACATTTGTTAAGGAGAACAAGTTTTAAGATGCAAGCAAAGCTTTCATATAAATTTTGTCCGAAAATCCAAAATTTTGGATAACTTTAGATGCAGAAATATTTAACTAAGTACTCACCTTGTTTGAAACTTTAGTATAATCCTCATCATTTGGCTGCTTTGGTGTTAAAGTTAGTATAGCTGTATATGCCTTATGAGCACGCTCGTTATTTTCTTCTGTATCATTTTTATCATACCAAGGCTTCCATGTTAGGTGCGAGGCGCTGAAAATATATAAAAAATTGGGTATAAAAAGTTGCTGTAGGCATACGAAAAGTTAATATGAAAAGTTATAAGAGTCCTGGGACTACTTTTACGGCAAGATGGAGAAGATGAACGGATAAGGCCATACTTGGGTGTAGTTATCTAAACATTTCATTCGCATTTTCGTTGTTGGTGTTTCCGACAGGGTAGGAGTATGACGTACTGTGGAATGGTTTTCCGCCATCCCTTGTCAAATTTAGTTTGGAGACAAACCGGTTTTGGCGTTGTGCCATTCGACACAGAACGAAAAATGACACTGAAGATGGTACAACGTCGAAACCGGTTAGTCTCCAAACCAAATTGAACATTTGATTTTGGCAAATCTAAAGAGTATTTTTTTTTAGACATCAGGTTTTCAAGAAGAAATAAAACGCATATAGTTTAATGCTATGGCCAAGAATTTAACTTTATTATAAAGATAAGGGTTTGCTATTATGTTTTAAAAATGATTTCGGGCAAGTGACCGCCGCGGCTAGCCCAATTTTCGATCACTTTTTGCAGAAATTGGGGTCGTATGTCAGCGATAACGCGCCGAATATTCTATTCCAAGACGTCAATCGTCTCGGGCTTATTTGCGTAGACCAGCGACTTCACATAACCCCACAAAAAATAGTCCAGCGGTGTTAAATCGCACGATCTTGGGAGGACAACGCCACAGGCCCACGACGCGGGATAATGCCCTCTCCAAAAGTTCCCTTCAATAAATTGATTGTTTCGTTGGCTGTATGGCATGTAGCGCCGTCTCGTTGGAACCAAAGGTCGTCCACATCAACATCCTCCAATTCCAGCACGAAAAAGTCATTAATCATGGCTCCATAACGTTCCCCATTGACTGTAACATTATGGCCGGCTTCATTTGTGATGAAATATGGACCAATGATTCCCTTTGCCAATAGAGCACACCAAACAGTGACTTTTTGAGGATGTAACGGCGTCTCAACAATGGCTTGTGGGTTGTCATTACTCCAAATGCGACAAATTTGTTTAGTAACGTACCCGTTCAACCAAAAGTGAGCTTCATCGCTGAACAAAATTTTCTTGTAAAAATCAGGATCGGTGGCCAACTCGTTTTGGGCCCATTTACCGAAAGTGCGACGCGCTTGATGGTCGTTCGGCTTTAATTCTTGCACAATTGGATTTTGTAAGCCCGCAAACCAAGATCCTTCCGCAAAATCTTCCATAAAGTGGATGGGCACAGCTTCAATTGTTGCGCGCGATGGCGGATGGACTCATTCGGGTCTTCTTCGATACTCTGCTCCACAGCAGCTATAGCGTCTTCGGTGCGCACTTTACGGCATTTCTGAAGATGCGCATAATCCACTAGAGTAAACGTGGTGCGAAACCAATCCATTTTTGCTCGAATTACCGATTCTGCTGTGCGATTATGTCCACCGAATACTGGACGCAGCGCGCGATGCGTCACGCGCACCGAACCATTATTTAGGTAATAAATTTGCACGATTTGTAAACGATGTTCCGAAGTAAGTCTGTTCATTATGAAATGGCAAACTAAACTGCGTATACATCAATCAAAAGCTGTCAAAAAGACCAACTCAGAAAAAAGTATTGCCTCATTGAAAACCACACGTTTAAAAAAACCCTTTACATTGCAAACCTTATTGGGAGTAGGCTAAAAGCTGTGTGGTAGACTCTCTAAACGATCCTATCAACACGTACATATTTTTCGGGCTGTAGAAATGTTATTAAAGGGTGAGCAAAAGGTGATGTAGATCTCTGACTCCAATTATTTGTGACATATTTATTAATGTTTTAAAGATGTCAGTGGCAAAAATACATCGATCTATTTCATGGATTCGATGCATCGAAATGTACATCGATATTTTTCGATACATCGGATGGCCTACATCTATGCATCGATTTGCAAAGGATTTTACAGTTAATACTTCACAACAAAATATGTGATATAATGCATCGATACATAATGTAGCAGCTTCAGATATACTATGATGTCTAGCATCAGTCAATATAAAACGTGAAAGGGTGGAGTGAAATGAGGATAAGCTAAGCAAACAATCACATAAACACACACTACATACAAGGGACATGCTCTTCGGCTACTCGTAGCTAATACAGCATTTCTACCAAGCCTTAACTGCAGTTTGTGCTCATTGGATAAACGAGATTATCACTCGAACGGGGTAATTGCTCATATTAAGTATAAGCAAACGAAAGAACGAAAGAAAAAAGTAAGAAATAAACATTGCCAATCACCCTATGTTAAAATACTTAGTACTTATCATAGCTCTTAACTACTATAAAGCTTTTGGTGAAAATATGCTATAAGAACTGCTAAAACAATTTTATGAAAAAGCGTACGGACGACATAAGCAAGGTAGTGACTAGGTATTTCTAGAATAACTTTTCACAGATGCAAGCCTGGGGCTAAATGTAGGTAAAACGGACATGTTTTCACAAATAAGTACAAGGATCCGGCATGGAATTCTCCGAAGCTTGATGAAACCGAACCGACTACCACTTTCACAAAAAGCTTTCGGACATTGCCGAAAAACGTTTGTTAAACGGGTTACCTGGCGCTGTGTCTCAATTAGAAGAAGAGGTTGCAGACCATAACCGAACAAAAAATGTTCAAGTTTCGCGGATATACATACGACCTGCAAGGAGCTATTTAAACAGGTCCCCGAGATTTGGACTTCGGGATAAACCGCGGGCATTAAAATAGTCTACATTATATGTCGACCAAAAATGTTCTATGTAAGAAGTGGATAGGTTAGTCACGAATAGGCGGCTGTATATCTTTTAGCTTCTAGGCTTCTAGGAAAAAGTGGATGAGATTGCCAAAAGTAATGTTTCTTTGTAAATCAAACATACAGTTTAAACTAAAATCTCTAAAAAATCCTAGAAATGAGCTCGTAATGAATTTATATGAATACATAAGTTTCAATAATATGCCAAATTTATCAGATTTTCAGCCGTATTTCAACAAATCTTAGCTCATCACTGCTGGGATTTATCAAACTGCTACTGCAACAAATGTGCCGCTAAATCACACATTTTTAAGTTTTTGTGTATTTTTCCTTTCCTTAAAATCGAAATTTTTGCGGCACATTAGAAATCACAACTTCATGAGCGAAGTTTTGTGATTCTGTTAGCATAGAGGGTTAATGTAAATTTTTTTTCGAAGTTTTGCGATAAAAAAAATTTAATTTTCTCAAACATTATTCTACCTGAAACTCGAATTTAATATAATCTTGGATTTTAATCTACGTAAACAAAATTTTGATCGGCTTCAGCAAAATACGAGAATGTACATATGTTTTGGGTTTGATTGGGTATTTGATTGCTCTACAGTAGGGGTATTCTCCAAATCTTGCAAAGCCATTGCACGTAGCACGGATTGCATGGATTGCATAACTTGCAAACACAGCAACAAAATACATGGGAAAAAAAATTTTCCTATCGCTGCAAAATATGCAACGTCGAAACCTATGTATATATTTTGAAAAATAGCATAGCAAGTTAAATGCGACCCTGTGCTAATTTTTTTGTTGTTGGAATTGCTACATATTTCTCTCATTCCTCTTATCTCGCTCACTTCATTTTCTTTTTGCTGTCTCTTGTTATTGTATTTGATTGTATAATTTCGCAATGGGGCGCTCTCGTACTCTTCGAAATTTGGAATAGTATTTTTGCGTTTCGTGCAATTCATGCATCGTGCAAGACTTCGAGAATACGCCTAGTGTAATTCTAAAACTCTATGGGTAAAAATTTTTTTTTTGTTAGGTTCCATCATGATGCTTTCTACATACATACATATAATTTCAATGAATTTTTATTTTTAACTTACCGTGAGAACATTTCAATATTAATGAATACATATTC